GACCACTCATGCAGAACCGTATCCGGTGTTCTGATCGATGCAGACCAGTTTATAGCAGAACCTCCTCCAACTGTTGAGCCAGCTAATATCATTATCATCCCATCAACTGATGACATAATTCCACCTGATTCATATAGTTCATTCATTGAGGGACCTTCTAGAGAAGAGTAATCTTTAGGAAGAAAATAGTTCCCTTTCTCGACAACCATCACTTTTTGGCCAGACTGTGCAAGAACTGCAGCTGCAACTCCTCCACCACAACCAGAGCCAACAATGACAACATCACATTTGATCTTGTGGATGTTGTGAGTCGTATCATCCGCGACCTGAAGGCCTCTCTTAGTGAGAGATTGAACAAGTGTAGAATCACTCTCATTCATGGTTTCTATGATTCCCTGTTCAAGAGGTCTCTCCTTTGGAGTTTTCATTAACTTTTTGTTGGTGTTCAAATCGTATCCAACTGCTTTCCATGCTGGGTTTCTTGAATTTTCATCAAGCTGAAACCAACCAGACAAAGTGATATTAAACTTCAATTCCTATAATTGAAAAGATGAACACATATATATTCTGCTATATATCTTTCTATCAGACATTCCTATAATTTTGTTAATTAGATCCACATTTTCCAGCAATTTTACATATAGCCTTTGTCAAATCATGTTTTGAGCAATTATAAACAGTTGAGATGAAGAATGAGTTTAGGTGCATCTACTCACAATGAAGAAAACATAATCTTATTTAAGGATTAGCATAAAAATAATTATTATATTTCTAATATATAATGCATATAAAGTTAGGGCCTTAAATAGAGATATTATTGAAGACATCACAGACGTTGCAGATGAATGCTACAATATATTATAGCCGGTCTCCTGATCACTACAAACCGTCACACATTTTTGTCACAAGAGAAGCAAACAGAAATATATAGTAAAATCCGCACTTTGAGTTTAATTTATTTTTAAAAAAACTGACAGAAATTCTCAGACCCTCTTGTCATAAATTATTAAATACAGCACTAATCTATCTCTTTGATTTTTCTTTCTAGTTTATAGAGTTTTTTCTTCTTCTTTTATTTGGAAAGTGTCACGGAGGTCAGTCGGAGTTAAAGAATATTTGTCCTTTTGCTTTGCCTTACCATTATCAAAGCAATGAGCCATGAGTGATGAAAGGAACAGATAACATAAATTATAATGAAAAAAGGCAAAAAGAAAGTAAAAGGGTCAGCTGACAAGTCTGACAAGACTTGCATTATGTAATAGTGGAGGAGAAAAATTAACTTATCTATTCCCGTTTCATTGTCCGTTTCATCGTCCCCAGCAGAGACAGAGAGACAGAGAGAGCGGGGTAATAAAACGGGGATAGGGAAGTATGACTCGTTGTGGGAAGAGGGGGGTTAAAATCAGATGCAAGATTACCCTGGAGAAGAAGGTGTAGAAGCAGAAGATTTTGACCACCAAGAACATCAATCTGAGTGTGAGCACAAGCTTTTCCTTTGACCATTTCTTGAGGACTTCTTCTCTTTTCTCCAAAGACATTTCAGAGAAGCTGTGGATGAATGGCCATTTCCAACTAAGGCAACGATGCCCACAGAGCAATAATGTTCCTAATCTGAATGACAGCATCTTCAGAAATAGCTTCATTCCCTCCATAACTTCTGGTAGAGCCCTCTTCACCATCAATTCTGCTACCTGCTTGTTTACCAAATTGATCCAAAAAAGAAACAGAACAAGTTGAATATTTCATAAACTAAAAAAATAAAGGGCATTGACTTGCAAACTCTCAAGTTCGAACCCTTGTGACACAAAAAAAAAACAGAACAGAAGAGCTTTCCTATAAACTTCAATAGAAACCAACATGAAATTCACCTCATCTGGTATAGGAGGCTGAGACCCAGAAGCTCTGTAGATGGAATGAAGGGCTTGGTCATCTGGGCTTTCCTCCTTCTTCTTCTTGTTGTTGTTTATGGTGTCTTCCAGTGACAAAGGAGGTACCAGAGCTTCACAGATGGCAGCCAGTGATTGGATTTGAGCTGGAGAGAAACCATGGCTGAATTTGCTTTCCCTCCTTCCTCCTCTCAACAGAGGATGGCAACTGCTTTCTCTTCCCTCCATCTCTCTCTCTAAGAAGATGCTTTGTTCTTGTGGGGCTGTTTCTTTGGCTTCATGTATGTTCTATAAAGAACAAGCATTGCCGAATTTATATAAAAACAGGAGAAGAGAGATGGTGTGCCGTGTGGAAACAAACAGGTAACAATTGTTAATTTGTCATCGTCTAGAACAAATTAGAACGTTGAAACCAAACACTTCACTCATTTAAACATTTTAGGATTTGGTTAAATGGGCCAATAGTCAAGTGGAAAAGTTCAAATTATTATATATAATATACTCATTTTGCGTAAATCTTTTAAACATCATTGTATTTATATATATATATATATATTAATACAAGTCATAGTCTAAAACAAAACAAAAAAGGAAGAAAAAATGTTTTTATATATTTCATAGGATGGATAAATCAAAGATCAGATAACTGATATATGAGTTTTCAAGTTAACTTTTATTCATTAAAGAAAAAGGTGGAGTACTCATATTTTGTCTAACAAGTGGCATTGAAAATGGAGATCATACCAGAAAAATTCTCAAATATATAACCTCAGTCTACTGTTAATAGTACTGTCCTATAATAATAAGTATCAATTAGCCTCTCCGTACATGCTTCTACACCTGCAAGAGGTTTTTTTTAATAAAAAATTTAATTTATTTTAGAATTAAAAAAGATAATGGGTAGTTGTGTTCCATAAAAATAGAATCCATTATTTAATTTTTCTTTTAATTTTAATTTTTTTTAATATGAAAAAGTGTAAATTTACCATATTATCCTTATTTAATTAATAATTTCAATTCTTAATATTTACATTAACTAAGGGCATTTTCTGACATTTTGAATGTTTTACCGTTCTTTGTTTTTTGCGATATATATATATAGATATTATGTTGATGGGCATAGATATTATGTTGATAGGTAGTTGCCTTAAAAATCTAACATTAATATCTTTGCGTTTTAAGTGAGTAGACAGAGATGCTATGGTCGATCTCTCAACCGCCCATTCAATGTTAAAAAATAAAAAATAAAAAAAATAAAAACCAATTATAGTGATCCATACCCCCACAGTGCCAAATTTTATGGGCCTAGGATCTGTGAATAGTTGTCAGCGATTTCTGAGTGTAGCTACAGTTTCAACAACTACTGGTTTTGGTGAAGCACTTATGGCTGAATAGGGCCATGCATGCATAATATCCACCCATATCAAACATTTCGGTTATTGATTGCCTCCGCATCTTTACTTCAGAAGGATTCAAATTCAACAACCACCACCAAGTCAACCTGCCTGAGTTTCAAAATTAATTCATGAATCATAACACACTGCGAATTCCAGCCTTTTCTTATATTTCCCCTTCAATAAAGTAGCAAAAACCCACTCCGAACTAGCATCCTGTTTAGCACCCAATATCCCATGTTGGAGAAATACTAGTTCATCTTGACATGGTATATAATTTGGCGGTCTTCTCTTACAAGCCGATTTTGTATGGATAAGTTCTACAGGAAGATAACTGATAAGTATTATGTATCGAAAATACTTGGCTCTTTGCATATAATATGTGTGCAGTTGGTAATTTTAACGAGTTACTTTTGCATGTGTCAACCTAATTCGTTTGTGATGTCTCCATTATGTATGAGCATGACTGCCATCAACTCAGAGAGTCCACAGATGGATCTCATTGAAGATCATCAGGCAATGTCCAGTGACCCCACCATTTATGGTCACAAGACAACTCACGCCTCAGATCTGTTGGGGGGTCATCGGACTTTATGAGCGAACGAACACCGAAAGTTTGCTCACAATGCCATTGTATTTACTTTTTGTTACTATTGACGGTGGCTGGAAAAGGTTTGCCGCTAGGCCTTACGGCTTTAAAAGGATCGACCCTATATATAGGCTATATGTTAAGCCTACAATGAGAAGAACAAATTATGAGCTTCTCCAACTTGACTTAGAAGGAAATGTTGGTCAAAACAACATCCAAGAAAGATATCACCTTGTTCAAATTAAAGAGTTCAGATTCTTTCAAGAATCTCAAGGCCTTGAACATGATCCAATTCAAGGAAGGTGTCTCGGGAGAGCAACAAACCCTAGTTTACGATGGCAAAGTGCTAGATCAAGACGACAAAACCCTGGCAACATCCAACGTGGACAGCTGGTCTGCGGTTCATGCAGTTTTTTGGGTCCTGAAGAAATCAATCCCAAGGTGGATATGGTGTGAATATGCTGCCCAGGTACCTGGCTGGGGACCAATCTTGATGGAAGTAAAACTGTGGCATATTGGCCGGGAAATGAAAGCGTTGATGGAGAGAATGGTAGGGTTTGATTTGGATGATTATGTGGTAAGCCATGGTGAGAAGCTTATAAAGGATTCCATGAGCATAAGTGAGTGCAATATCAATAAAGATCCCCCCTTAACTTGACAAACTAGAGCTTATTTAATGGTGACGATGATGAGAAAACCCTAGGGTTTTATCATGTAAAAAAGAGATCAACGATTTGGGAATTTCGTTCTTATTCGAAATTGTAGAAACAATCATGCTTAACTCCATAGAGGACATTAAGCGCTATATGTGTGAGAAGATGGGAGGGATCCCATGTAGCAGCCATAAACTCTCTTATAAGGAGCAGTTACTTGAGGAAGTACGAGGCACTCCTCTAAAGTGGAAGTTTTGTGTGTGGTAGTTCTTGGTCATTCTTTTGGCCTTCATACAAAGCATTGCACTGCTGACTAGCATGTCTTTGTACACATAGGCTACTGGTAGCAGAAACTCAAAAAAAGGCATGGCTTCTCTAGTTTATTTGATTTAATGGCTTTTGTTTCCAGAATAGGTTTCAATCTCCCCTCTCCCAATATTGTTTGTTTAAAAAAATAAATAAATAAGGCTTTTCTGGATATTTCCAATGATTTTTTCTAGTGAATGTCAATTGATAGAACTAATTTTTCTACTGAATGTTAGTATTACAGGCATGCATAGCTTATGAGTACATCTACAGACTAAAAAGCAAAATCATATTTTGAAATGAAATTACATGATAAAACAAAAATATGAATTTCACCAAATCTTACCAAAATTGTCACTTTTTTGGGTGTTCCATGTTTTATGCTTTAAGAACTTAAGCAAAAGTATGTTATGAAAGAGAACCTGCTCCATTATCAGTCACGAGGAAGTGGATTTGCCGTTGCAAGTACTGAACCTGCTACAGGCATTCAATCCATGAGTTACTAGAGATAAGGTCTGTGCTTCTCAGTGTGTGTGTGTGTGTGTGTGTGTGTCTTAAAATAAGTGTGTTAAAGGATTCAAGGCTTCTCCATAAGAAAGTGCTTATTATAGTACTAGTAGCAGGATGGATTGGGGAAAATTAGGTATTGGGTTCTAAACTGATCAGACAAATGGAGAAAAATTGGAGTTGTAGTAAAGAGTCAAGGCTCCAAAGAAAGAGAATTTACCTCCCCTTGAAGCAAAGTGGGCAGACAATCAGTTGATATGAGACTATTAATTTCTGCAAGTAGCTTCTCTTCTTTAATGCCAGACCATGTGTGTTGAGGCAGAGCCAACAGAAGTACTGTTAGAACATCGCCCGTAGATGGATGCATCCCTATGCAGCTGCCATGATAAAAAGAACACAGACTGCTTGGATCTGTTTGACATGAGGGAACCAGCATATCAACTGCTTGTTCCATGCCATTAGTTGTTACAGTTCCTGAGACCACTGTTACGGGCTTTTCACCATTGGATTTTAAGACCTTCATGTCAGTTTTTCTACAACACATTCCATCTAATGAACTGACTTTCCCAGCCAAAACTTTAGCTCCTTGGCAACACACATTTGCAGCAATTTCAGGCAAGGTATCTTTACCACCCAGTGATACGGTATCCTTACAAAGTGAATTTTTAGAAGCCAACCATGTGGTTACATGCTTGAAGAGTTCCGTTTCTTTTACTTGTTTCAATACCTCTTCCTGAAATCCCAATTTTAGAAATTCAAAATCAGAGATCCCCCACCTATATATTACTTTTCATTTCAAGTATAAGAAGAAAAAGGAAGGAAAAGAAGTATATAAAAAAAAGGTGTGCTTCAAACTTTGCCCCCTTTGAGGATTACAAAGCAAAAGCAGAAAATCAGAATGCATGAATTAAAATAGGAAAAGGCTGTAATAAAACCTTGATAGCTAGCCTTCCTTTTTCCTCTTTGTTTACGATCGGATTCCCATCCTCTTGTCTCCGAACTTCGGCAACCCATTTAATGAACTCTCTCAAGTCAGCAGGTGGTGATTTGAATACAACAGAGATCACATTCTGAACATCTTTTACATCTACTGACTTCAACAGGAGAGGAACATCTTCTATTAAGTACTTCGCAATACTATTCCAACCTTCATGTCTGCAACTCTGGGGAAAATTCACAGTTACATCAAGATCTAAACGTTTTATGGCAAGTAGAAATAGAATAGTAAAACAAAAATGTGCAACCACAAACAATAACAAATATCTAGCAGATTACCACAGAGAAAGTGATCAATAGAGATGTGTAGGGAAACAAAGCCTGCCACCTTCATATGTATAAGGAACCAAATAATGTGGATTTTACTTTTACCTTCCAGCCTCTAATTTAAACATCTCAGTTTCTAGTTTCAATATCACGTGTTGGTCCAAGTTCAAATCATAAAAAACCAAAGAAGTTCAGAATAGAATGTAAAATGAATGAATTTATTAAACGACAGGGTTTTCGTGTCAAATTATCATAGTTAATTTTGCTCAAGCCTATGAAGTTGATCCAAATTTAGTTATATCTAAGTTTTTCCACAAGGATACAAGTGTAATACTGAAATTTCGCATGAAGGCTAACAGAAACTAGGTTACGTAAAACAGATCGACAAGAGCAATACCACAGTGTAAAGAATAGATGGACTTCTGTTAAGCCTTGAAATAATCATGTACCTGAAAGAGCCAAATTACAGAATGCAAACGGTTTGTAAGTGACATTTGTCAGTATAAAAGAGCCTACAGCCAATGACTCATATTAAATTAACAACTATGAACCCCAGGAGGACATAATGCGAAGAACAAAAAGTGAGCAAGAAATACTACTGCAGTTTGAACAACAAAATTCTATGAAATAAAGAAGAAGGAAAAAAGCCTAACTGGCTACTAAAGCTTTGAATTTCATACTTCAATATGTGGAAGGTTAAAAGTGAAGGGTATACCCTCGACGATGTCCAGTTGCTGCATCAATAGTATCCATTCCCTCCCAAAGAAGTGAAAGTGGAACCCAATGAGGAGGATATTTAAATCGAGCAACATCCAAAATGAGAACCATATCTCTTCCAGCATGATAACCCCCAATCGGTGAAAAATGGCCAGTTCCAGTCTGTAACCAGACAATACAATGCCAGTAAGTCACTAATGATTTTAAATAGAACTCAAAGACATCAGATAAATCTAACTTAAATTCTTAGATATAAAAAGGAAAATAAATCCAATATTGAGACAAATGTGTGATAGAAAGAACGGTCTTACAAAACCTGGCTAAATACACCTCTGTGGTATGATGTGATGACATGACAATCCTCTGAAGAAGTACACGAAATGACATGGTTACGAAAATCATGAACGGAACTTTCATGGGTTCGAAGGGCATTGACTTCAGCTCCATTGCAATGTGCCAAGCACGCAACTTTCCCAAAGGTGATGCCTTCGGCTTTGATCTTTGCCAAAGGTTCGCAGCAATCCAGCATTGAGTCATCAAACCATCTCCATGGGCCTGAGCTCACAAAAAGTCACAGGGCACATCATGAAAATAAACAAGTATATGGCTTTATAACCCAAGTGCAATTTGAGTGAAACCAATTGAAGAAAACCCAAAAATCCAGATCCTAAGTTAGCTCAAAAAGCAAAAATAAAATAAAGTAAAACTGAGAAAATTAATTACCTTTCCATTTTCTCCCGGGATCTATAGCGAGGGCGTTAAGGACGACGGCAAGGGTGGCCAGCCCACAATACGCAGGCTCTGATTGCGTTTGGTAGTAAGAGATCAGCTTGAAAAACCCTTCCATGGTTCCATTTCCTAGAGCTTCAGTAAAGAGCTTCTGCATAACATTGAAATTCACATTGACAGACCCACCAAACCCCTCATTCAATTCCACAGAGAGAGAGAGAGAGAGAGAGAGAGAGAGAGAGGGGGG